CAAGTTTACTTAGAAGTAAGTCTACTTTTATTCAATGGGGCTTACTCCCAGGTAAATGTAGTTAGGATTGCAGCTGTTATTTGTCTTCATTTATACCCTGCCTTTCCCCCACACAGGTACCCAAAGTGTTAGCAATCAGACCCCTCCTCCTGCTGAGGGTCAGTTTAGAGCTAAAAGAGCCAGAAACGCCCCTCTTAATATCACCACAATACCCTCAGAACACTGCTTGGACCAAAATGGATGCCAGCCAAGCATCAGCCTGGGAAATTAGTTTCAAGGCATGAGTCACAGTGGCTGGCTACTACCCTCCTTGCCCTGAAGAGATGCAGGACTTTAGGACAATGGGTCACCCAGGACCTATTGATTCACTCAGCATAATCACATCAACACCCAAGCCTGACTTCCCCTTCACCCATTACTCTTGATTAAGCTGCAATTTATCAATGCTTAAATCTAGTCACTTTCCCAGTTACCCTTCCTGTCTGGTGCTTATAGGGCCATCAAACCTTTTCCACCTTTTTGTCTACCTCTGGTAGACCCATCAGTCCTTTGGCAGTGAGTCAACCTGCCTCAGGATGCATTCTACCCTATAAATATGTCACCCAGCTGACCCAGCTGTGTGTGTGCATTCTTAGATCCTCCACACACACCCACTTGTGTGTGGGGCTTCTTTCTCTCGCTTCCCAAAACACTAGCTGTTTCCTTCTTCAACTTGCTGCTTCCACAGACCTCATCAGGATCGGTAAATACCACCCTTCCGTTAAACAGCTTTCCCCTTTGCTTTTCTTAGTTAGCTCTTGTATGCGTTTATTGTGTGGGCATACCCTTTCTTATTTTTGTTTAATAAAAGCCTTACTAGTTGAATATCTGCCCGGTTATTTCTGAGAGTTCCCATAGGGACAAATCCCTGTATATGTAGGTGGAGATACCATTTACCCACCTCTCACTCTGTCTCCAAGCTAATTTCCCCAAACTAAGTGGAGACTGCCTATTTTGGGTAACAAAAGATGCTTACATCTTTCTCCTTTCCTGTGAGGTAACTTAAGCTGAGAGCATGTATGGCCCATGTCACCCCAGAAAGCTTCCATGGCAGAGTGGGGATTCAAACCTGGGTCTCTCAAAGCCTAGTCCAATATTCAAGCCATTACACTATATAGCAGAATTTATTAATGAATAAAGAACATATTTTGATTAGTAGCTTTGTGGTACATTTACTTCAGGGTTTTAGCCTAACAATAGCAATAAGAAATGCACCCAGGTTACCCATTATTTATATATTACCTACACAGACATATACACCTACACACATTCACATGCAATTACAGAACTGAATACAGAATGAAATAGGACACCGGGGGGGGGGAGCAGGTGCAAGGTGAAAATATTTATTAAAGCTTTATAGATCCCTACGTGTTTTGCTGTTAAGCTGCTTCAGGGGCTCTTCTATAGGGTTTTTCAAATTCTACCTTGAGCAATGAGGTGGGTGAGAAAGAAATGTTGGTACTCTATAATTAGATATGCACCTCCTTTTTCCTCACCCCCCCCCCGCCTACTGGTATGGCCATTTGTTTATCCTAAAATAGGACCCAACAGATTGTAACACGGATATGTTACAATCTGTTGTGCCCTATTTGAATTCTCTCAGAAGTATGCATCAATATATCAAATTTTCCACATGGCCAAATCTGTAGATACTTAAATCCAGTGAATGGAGCCATGAACAGACAAGATAGGTCTTTCTACAATATTTGTAGAAGAATCTGAATTTTTTCTACTCTAAAAATCTATGGTCAATCAGTCAAACCTTTATTGGCATAGATTGAAAAAGAAAACAACAACAACACAGGAACCACAGATTTTAAATATACAAAGACAGTCATCCCACCAGAGCTTTAGCCTTATATTCTCAAACCCTCATAGCAATAGAAAGAAACCTTGCCACTGCAAAGGTGATGTGAGGGTGGTGATCTGATAGAAGGAAGGATACTAGTCTCTCTTCTGAACAACTGTGCGTATTGATCAAAAGGGGGATGATTAGGACATTACATATTTTATCATAGTATTCACAACTAAGCAAGATGTGGGTAATCGATTCTGTTTTCCTGCTACTACATAGACAAGTCCTTTCAGGGTAGGGGACATTTGCAAATCTGCCATAAAGGACCACAGATGGTAAAGTGTTGAAATATACAAGCATAAAAGCTTGTCTTAATGTTGGAGCTGTAAGCTGTAAAAAATAGTCAGCTATAAGCCTGTTCCTCCGTTTTATATTAAACTTCAGAAGAGAGGAAGTAATAACGGAACAGAGAGTTTGTTTTTCAATGTTGAAGATCCTCTGCCTCAGCATTCTAAATATTTGAGACTCACCTGACATGAGCAGGGAGTCAAAGGAGATACCAATAGACCGTATTTTCCTCAGTATTGAGGTTGACCAATTAGAGGTAAATGAGTCTGACAACAGCAGACGGACATAACTCTCAGATTCTGTTCTAAAGTAAAGGCGTAACCAGAATTTTAAGGCTGATGGCCAAGCTCTGGTCACTTGGAGGTGCTGTCCTGTCTCCAGGGACATGGCTGCATAATTTACACAGTTAGGCACCCCAAGGATACGCTGCAGAAACATTGCCTGGATCTGCTCAACCTGTTAATTAAAGGAGGCAATCCAGACAGGGATCCCCTTGAAGTATTTGGGATACGACTTTGGCATTGAAGACTCGCATGGCCGCAGGGATGAACTGATTGCCCTTCACATTGAAAAACTTAGCAATCGTGGACAGGCTACACTTGGCCAGATTTATTACTTGTTTTCTCTGGCCTGTCCAACCATTATTATACTGAAAGAGGATGCCCAGATATTTGAAATGTTTGATTTGTTCGATGCCATTAATGTTTATATGCCAACTGAAACATTTCCAAGATTTTGAGAACACCAGGATTTTCAATTTTTAAAAAATTAACAGATCCAAGATCTTGAGAACACCAGGATTTTCAATTTTAAAAAAATTAACAGATAAAGATGAGAAAGCAGATAGAATATGCTTAAGGCCCTTCTAGGTATGAGACAGTGTTACAGCATCATCCACATACAATAACAGAGTGATGGACTGAGGACCCAGTTTAGGACAATGACTATCGACCACACGTAAAAAAGAGTCTAAATCATTCAAAAAAAGATTAAATAAATAGGGTGCCAAAATGCAGCCTTGTTTGACTCCTTGATTTGTTGAAATCTTAGGTGTTAATATACCAGAATTCCCATGTCTTACTTGGAATATAGTTTCTGGATAAGAAAAAGTAGTCTTTCATCTATTCCCATCATATTCAGTTTCAGGAAGTCCCTAGGTATTGAATCAAAAGCCCCTTTTAGATCAAGGAAAGCAGAAAATATTTTTTCCCACCTGTACCAGCGTATTTCTCCACCAAATGGGCAAGGGTTATACAGTGATCTAATGTGGATTTGCCTGCACAAAACCCAATCTGTTCCGCTCCCAAGAAATTTTGATCTCAGATGCAGGAGGTGAGTTTATCTATTAAATGCCTTGCATAAAGCTTGCCTACTATTGAAAGGTATTTCTACCCGCTTGCGGGGTAGGGCGGGGTAGAAATACCTGAATAAATAAATATAAATATAAATATAAATAAGATGGTTGGGCGGTAATTTTCTTAGTAGTTGAGATCACCTTTTTTGAAAATTGGGACAACAATTGCATTTGTCCACAAAGAGGGCATAATCCCTGTTTTATCCATTAAAGAGGGCAGCCAGTGAGGGAGCCCACCAGTCCGGGTGCGCTTTAAACAACTCATGGGGAAGTCCATCCAGACCTGGGGCCTTTCCAGCTTTTAATTTATTAATTAAACATTTTATTTCGGTTGGACTAACTGGAGGCCATTCGGGCAAATCAGAAGAAGAGGAAACCTCTTGTTCCTCATATGAGTGGAAAAATCAAAAAAGGTATTCAGAAAGTAGTCTGTCCAGGTCTGGGTAGGTATGGGGCAGACATGGCCCCTGAATTCCCCAGCAACTAAAGCTCATAATTGTTTGCTATTCTTAGATAGAGATCATGTAGCAGCCTCTTCTTATGAGCAATGACAGCCTGAGGTTAACTCTTTAGTTTGAAATACCTGGTGGGTATATTAGCTTCTTTGTTATTTTGATAGGCATGATAAGAGGCATGGAGCCAAGACTTTAAGCTCTGGCATTCTTCATCAAACCACCCATCAGTTTTACCTCTGGGAGAGCTATAGGCAACTTTGATATGCTGCTGAAAGAGGCAATTAATGGTGTCTACAAGGCTATCATAAGCATAAAAAACAGCAGAAGGGTTATTAGTGTTAATTAATAATTGCAATAGCTCGTAAATCCTATCTGAATATAATAACTGGCTAATGCCCTTCTTTATTTGCGGGGACCATCTGACCCTCCAATAAGCGGGTGGACTTCCACATGGAGTGGTAGGCATGGGTGGTAAGAACATCTGATCCTCACCATACAAGACAGTGGTCAGAGGAAAAGTGACCACTGACATCACTTGCACCCACACACAAAAATCTAAAATCCAGCTTTTCTGGTTTGGGGAAATAATGACAGTCTATTACACTACAGCCATGACTAGAACCAAAGGTATATATCCAAAATCTATGGAGAATATGTAAGCTTCCCACCTGTTACTGAATTCTATTCTCTTTTAGAAGGTTCGTGTTGTATTCCTAGTACCTATCTGCAGGGCAACCAAGAGTGACTACAGGTCTGTAGACAAATATCTCCTTCAGGCTTTCCCCCATACCAGTCAGACCCAACTTAATCATATGAAAACAAATCACATAACATTCCATGCTCCAAAAGGAGATGAGTGCCCTTGAGCTTTGCTTCAAATAGGCTGTACTACTGGGGGAGGGAATTATGGCAACAAATTATGGCCATTATCTATTTGAGATATAAAGATCACATGCAATTAACATTAAAGTAAGGAACTTAACATTTGAGCATTGAATGATCTTACTTGGCATGTCAGAGTCATAATCATTTTGGGTGGAAGCAGTAACATTAATGGTTTCATGTGCTCTTTTCTCCAAGCTTGTATGACTTCTTGGGGGAACAGGTGGTGAGACAGTAGAAAATGGAACAGGCCCACTATGCAGATGGGGAGGATTCGTTGATGCAGCAAATACCAGTCCTTGCTTATTTCCAGTGATTTTTACTGTATCTTCTTCAATGACAGTTACATTATCACTTTTCAGTTGTGCAATGGATGCTGTTTTATTTGCATGTTGCAATTGTAGTGTAGAGCACTTTTGGTCATTACAAGCTAAAGCATTCTCCCAGATATGCAGAGTGTGGCGGAAAGAACTATTTGCCACTGGATCTTCTCCAGAAGGAAGAGAAGATGCTGGCTGCTGTTTTGGTGAGTCCATCACAGGTGCAGTCTCTGTACTAAGGGTCTCCAGCAAATCTTTGCCTTTTTTATCTTCATTCTTACGAACTTCCAACAATTCATGAAGCCTGATCCTTGGCAATGCTATAGGCTTTATTTGTGCTATTTCAGACTTCTGTGATGTGGACTCAGTCTTTTGCTCAGGATCTGGAACACGCACTCGGCACAAGGGCTTGGGTTTGGTTGGACATGCACTGTTGGGACTTTGCCCTGGTATTATTCCTGCAGGAGATTTCTTTGTAGGTTGCAGCAAAGCACTAGAAAAACTGGAATCATTTTGAAACTTTGCTCGAAGTGCCTGGAAGTCTCCAGTTCCTTCCTAAAATATCCAACAACAGGGAAAGCAATAATTAATTGCAATGTTAATGTTGAAAGCTAATTATCAGACAATCAAGAGAACAACCCATGGGGGCATAATTTTTGCAGAGTTTAAGAAAATACATAATGAGAACTAAAGAATTAATGTAAATATCAGGGGAAAGTAGTCTGGAAAGACCCATGTATAAACCACATGCCAGTGCTACAAAAAGGACTCTGTGTGAACCCCCTCCCAAGGGTAGCAATGTTAAACACTATATTTTACGTAGAATGCCTTAGTTCAGGCACACTGAGGAATCCGCAAACAACATTTCATTCTACATGGTTGTTTTGTATACAACATGAAGAACAATTCTGACACTGCAGTCAAGGAAACTAGCTAGAGGGGCAACTGTCATCGTGAACATGTTGAAATATATACAGGCAGTTGAGCGACAACTCTCCAATCACATTTTATACACCACTATCCTCAGATATACCAGAAAGCATTAAACAGAAATATACACATATACAGAACAAATCTATGTGAAATACCCCAGGACCCTCAGCTAGGTGCTTTCTATCTCTTACCTAAAATGTACAAGCCTGGCAACTAGGGATGCCCCATGGTCTCAGGTGTTGGCACAATCCCTGTAAGGGTAACTGATTATAAACTCAGGGTCTATGCCATCAGCACTACTGGTTACTTGTGTGATACCATGGACTCTGAGGGACACTAAGGGAACACGAAATACCATTTTAGCCATTACAGCTGTTGAATCTCTATACCAACATCCCCCATTAAGTGTCAGCTATGCTGCCATGGGGGTTGGGGAGGTCAGTTGTATTCTAATTGCCATTGCATTCCTCCTGTGCTTCTTTGCTGCTGTAACGCTTATCTCTAAGTTCTGCAGGTGGTGGGATGTTGATGTCTAGTTCTAAGGGAACCGTGGGAGCGAGCTTGGTTCCCAGCTTCAGCGCTAAACGGCCGGAGCGCCTTCTCCCGCGCTCGGGAGTGTGGCTAATTGGCCAGGGCAGTGGGGGGGGTGCATACGAATACTCTATATCCTATTATGTCCCATGGGCAGCCACCATTCTTAACAGTGCCTACGTTAATGCATCTATAGCTCTTCAATAAAGTATTACCTTTCCTGATAAGCATGTACTATGTTGTTGGCTGTGGGTTCTGACATTAAGATGGGCTACAAGCTATCTAGAACATTATCCCTAACAATACCATAGCAGACTTTGCCACCAAGTTCTGTCTTTTGTATTCACCCACAGCTATTTCAGATTTTGCAACAGTTTGTACCTTCAGATTAATGGCTCAGCCATGGGTACCTGCATGGCACCACAATATGCAAACATTCCTATGAATGCTTCCTCTGCTTCTTCCTGTTCTGTACTTATCAATGGCTCTGATTGTTTGGATGTATGGGAAGGAGGCTCTATTCTACCAGGACTTCAGCAACTTTCAGCCCACCATCAATCTGAACATGGACCAGTCTATGAAATAGGTGCTTTTTCGGCACATACACACACAAAAAAACCTTTTCACATGTTCCCTAGCCTCAAGTGCTCAGGGCCATCCACTGCTATTACATATATGATAACAAACACACTGAATTAGGTCTAAAAGCAAATGGGAAGCCTATGCAGTCATTTAAACAGCTTTTATACAGTTTTCCCAGAAGCCCAGTGTCAAGTGCCTTATACTAATGTAACTTGGACTACAGAACAGAGTACAGAAATGTGAGGATTGTATGTGGCACAGTGACCAAAGTGGATTTAAAGCACTGCATAATACAAAGGGGGACCCTGCTGTAATAGTAGTCCCGGGGATAAAGCTTCTCCTTTAGGAAAAGGGAAACCCTGCCCAGACCCAGGTTACATCTCAATTACTGGTTGACCACCTCAGTCTTATCTGTTGCAGCCTTGAGTTTGCATACATAAGGCGAGTTCAAAATGTTTTAAATAAAATAAATCTGTATTGAGCTGCAGTTTATGGCCCTTTTATATGCTTGCATTGCATGAAAGACACCAGCCATGATCTGTGCAAAGAATGCAGTTAATCAAAATAGTATTTGAGATTAGAAAGTTAGGTGAATAGATATTCCTGGACAGGACTTCCATTATGCTCAAAAAACACAGATGACTTTAATGAGAAGGCAAATGAGAAGGAAGCATTGTCCTGAGATGTGACTGAATTCTGTGTAATTGCGTCCAACTTATTAAACAGCACACAGTTTCTCCTGAATAACCCCTTTTAGTCAACTTCATTATTTTCACATTACACAGTGTGATGTAAAGCACCTAGGAGATATTTCAATTGCTCCAATTGTACTGGAGCAGCCAGCTGTACGATACAACGCGCTAAGCCAGAGTCTAGTCTAAACTGGAGTGTATATGCAATTAACATTTCCATAAAAGAAAGATAAAACAAACCCTATGATCTTCATCCAAAACACCATACAGAGTTATGGCTACAACCAGTGGAAGCCAAGACAAAATAAAATGCCATTGTTTCAGCAGCGTGGGTACCTTTTCCGTACACATGCTTTAAAATCTGCTCAAACGCAGAGCACTGTTTATAGCTCTTTATTGCAACCCAGGTGTTTCTTTTATTACTAAGTTTCTCATTGGGGCTATGCACAAAGATGAAATGATGAAAGAAGAAACCTTTTCCAGGTTGCCATCCCCTAACTAGCGAGATGACACTTTGTACTAAAGCCTTGTGATTTTGCGCATTCAAGCACAACTAAAATTGCAGAGTTACTTCCTGGAGAGTCCTCCCCGATTTCTAAAGTGCACTGCAGGCAGTAGTACTTCCTCTTGCAGAGTATCTATGAACACGCTGGGATACTAAGCCCTTGATACTGCAGGCAGGGAATGTTGCCTGTTTCCATGGGAACATTTCCATGATGGCTGAAACCTGGCCACTGGTAGCATTTAAGCTCTGCTTCTAGTGTGTTCATGATTTGTGGTCTTATCTTGGCAAACTTGCTCATTCTTTTACACTTAATAATATTCAGTTGACCTTATTGGTCTCTTCTCGGCCTTTCAATCTAACTTTCAATAATTTTTAAGAGACTGCAGTCTTGAAGGAATACGGCACAGAAGGTAGAATACTTACTTACTTTCTACTTTTCTACTTGATACTCCACCTTTTCCCCCAATTAGGACCCAAAGTGGTTCTCTTCACCTCCATTTTACCCTCACTACCACCACGTAGGGTAGGTTAGCCTGAGAGTATATGACTGGCTCTAAGGTTATGCAGCAACCTTCCATGGCAGAGCAGGGATTTGAACTCACATATCTCATATCCTATTCTGACACAGTAGCCACTACAACCCACTGGCTCTCTAGGGCCTGGGCCACCTCTAACATTCAATATGGTAGAGCTTTCAAACATTCATGTGTATGCCTAACCCATCTAAGTGCTGACAGTGGTTACAAGACAGTGCTTGTTTTGTTCCATGCTGTTCAAACAGAGGTTGCTATTGAAGGAAAGAAGTGGATCATTCCAAAAGATTCATTCAGGAATTACCAGAAGCATTAACTAATATTAGCTCATTCTTCTTGTTCGTTTGTACTCCAGGAGCAGAAACAACAAAAATGATACCAGACATATTCAAAAAGTTAGGGGATAATTTGTTGTCAAAAAAACAGCTAAAGACCCTAAACAGTAAATGCAATAACTACAGAATGGACAAGTAAGTTACACTGAAATATTCATAGCCAACCACAGGGGTGTCAAACATATGCCCCGCGGCTGGAAACGGCCCTGGAGGGCTCATATCCAGCCCGGGAGCAACTGCCTCTCTAGTCTACTGCTTCCCTCCATGAGGCTGCTGCATGGCTTGCTTTTGCCCATCTCCCTCAGTTGCATGGGGAGAGAGACAAAGCCAAGCCTCCTTCCCTCCATTGACTGAGGTCTCCTCCCCCCTCTTCCTCTTCCTGTATTCTTTGCTACAACTAACTGAGATTGGAAGGAAGGAGAGGGGAGAGAGAGGCTCTGAAGTAAGGCTGCCAAGTGGGGGCGGGTAACCCCCCGCTTTGGAGGCCCTATTTCTGACGCTGCGGAATCGGGCCCCGGGGGGAATCCCACCCCTGCATGCGCATCACCAGGAAGTGATGTTGGCCTGCTGGGGGCGGGGCCATGGCCATACAAGGGAAAACTCTATGTTTTTCCCTTGTATGGCTGTGGCCCTGCCCCCAGCGTGCCTGGCGTCCTCCCGTCACTTCCGGGTGATGTGCGTGTGGCGCGTGTGTGCTTTGCACGTGTGCACACACACCAGACACCGGCCAGGAGCCCCCGCTCCCGGTGAAGATACACTTGGCAACCCTACTCTGAAGGCACTGGGACATTCCTCATGGCTGCCTTAAGACTCCTGACTCCTTAGCTTCCTTGGGAGCAAGGCAAGAGGGCTTAAGGTCATGTGTTCAGATTTGCATTGAGAAGAATCTTTCCATCTGAAGCTGTATGTAAATCCCCCGGAAGCAGGTGGGATTGCCTTGCTTGGGCCCCAGACTCCCTTCTAGGCCCTGGATGCTTCTGTAGCATGCCTGTTTGGAAAGCTGGGGAACATTGACACCTCCACAGGCTCAGTTCACCTCCGTCCCCTTGATGAAGACTAGCAAGGTTCTCCCATTTAGCAATGCAGCATGAAAGGGTCTGGAGTTGGCCCCACTCACGGGAGGGGGCTGCGGTGCCTGGGCGGGTTTGATTCTCACAGCTTGCCTCCCTCTCTGCCTCACTGTTTACTAAGTCAGCATCAAGATCAGGTTTCTCTTCTCACCTTCACCTCCTTCTCCTTCATGGGGCAGGAAGAGAGCCTGACCTCTTGTAGTCTACAGCTAGCATTGGAGGATCTTGGGAAGGGAAGGGAAGGGAAGGGAAGGGAAGGTGAGCTCAACTCTGGAGAAAGTTGCTTGCTCTTCTTTGCAAAGGGCATTTTAACTTGTTTGCATGGTTGGAATTTTCCCCCCTCCTCCTGCCACCACTCTTTGGTAGGGCTTGATTAGGCTTGTCACCCTGTTTGTATTTGTGGCTCAGTGGCAGAAAATCTGCTTGGCATGCAGAAGGTCCCAGGTTCAGGCCCTGGCATCTCCAGTTAAAAGGATCAGGTAGCAAGTGATGAGAAAGACCTTGGCCTGAGACACTGGAGAGCTGCTGCCAGTCTGACTTTGATGGACCAGGGGTCTGATTCAGTATAAGGCAGTTTCATGTGAGGGAGGGGGGATTCTTCTGCCAAGCACAATTTACATTGAGATTGCCTGTTCACATGCAGGTTAAAAAAACACACATGCAGGTTAAAAGAAATGAAGGGAAAGGGATGCCTTGGGGAAAGGAGAATTAAAAGACAATTATTTTGGCTTATTCTGACAAGTTTTTTTAGATTATATTTCTCTGTGTCTATCTGGGATTTTATTTTCTTTCAAAGAGACCCTGATTAGGAATTACAACACTTGGATTTGATTCCATTGTTTAATGACTGGAGGTAGATGGCAAAGTTTTAATTAAAAAAAAATAGGGTTCTATTTCTTCCAGTTCAACACATCTCCCTCTCTCCCCTCCCACCTTGCTGGCTGCCTTTCTTCACATTAACTCCACCTCTCTGCTTTTTTTATTAGTGGAAAAGAGGAAGAAGAACTAACAAAATTTGTGGTGGGGCATGAGCTTTCGTGAGTCACTGCTCACACCTTCAGATACAGCTAGAATGTGAGCCCATCTGTCCTATATATGGGAGAGTGAAGTGCTTTCAGATTTGCATCTGCTTCAACCAGAGGCATCTGAAATTACCTTTATAAAGCTTATATCTCCAGTACCTGACATTATGTTTTATGGCACACATGACCCGGACCAACAAAGTGAGATTTCTGTCAGATGTGGCTCTCGTAACAAATGAGTTCGACATCTCTGGCCAATCAGTTGGAAACAATGAGATGTAGTGGAATACCTATATTGAAATCACATTTTAAAATTAGAGAAACAAAGTCTGGGCTCCTGACCCTCATCCAATTCATATACAAACAGATCTGTTATGTACTGATCCTGTTTCCTTGCAACATGGTTCTGGCAGAAACAGCTTGGGGAGGAAACACAATAGACCATCAGGATCCTGGTAGTCACCAATTAGGATGCAATGTTGTGTAAATAGCCTATTGTCAGGAGTGGGTGTGTGATGGGTGTGCCAATTTACGGGTTTATAAGCAGGGCTCCGGCCTTGCTAGGTTGTCTTATGTTCTGCTGAAATCACTTAATAAACTATGAGTTGATCACTACACGGGTCTAGAACCCAGTATATTTCAAGATCACTCTCCCAGCCATCCATTATTTAGACATGAAGAGGAACTGAGCAAAGAGATAAAGAAATCACAGATTCCTAACACAATAAACAGCTAGCTAGGAGCATAAATCTGATCCCTTTGTCATAGAGGTTTTCTAAATTATATTTTTGGCCACCAGAATCCCATGGGATGCACTTCACATGAAGCTGCCTTACAGTTCCTGTTACAAGCATTCAGCTTTGTAAACCTTAAGAGGAACAGGGCAGGTTTATCAAGTGTTTAATCAAGGCATCGCTCTGACCCCAGAAAGCACAACAGGCTGGACTCTTGCCATGTGCGTCAGGCAGCCTGAACAGCATTTGATTGACGCTGCTGCAGCCCAAAGAGTATCTGCGTCTGCAGTTTTACCTAGCAGATCCACCCATAGCTCCTCAAAATGCTAGGAGGCTACTGAGGCCGTTTCTCTGTCAAAATAAAGGAAGTTATAAAGCGTCCAGTTGTAAAGAGCAAGCAAAGTCACATACAGTTCTTCAAGGTTAAAATAAAAGGAATTAAAAGATTCACAACCATTATGTTCGTAAAGTGAAAAAGAATATACACCCCACTCTCATTCTGAAAAAGAGGCACTTGCTACACCTCAAACGGCTTCATTTAATCAGGAACTCTTCCCATCCTCTTAGCGATTCACAGAAAGTTAAGAGTCGCTCTTCGGGAAGCCGAAGAGGGACGATTTAAACAGCAGGGGATTTCCTTAAAAAATAGTACCAATCTTACAAAGACAAACAGAACAGTCTTTCAATAATTACCATGCCCGTGCTTTCTCTGGCTCACTGTCATGCCCCCTTCTGAAATGCCTCAGCTTTGCAGCCCGTTTTGGATTCTGCCCGTTCTTAAAGCCGAGTTTGTAAAAACTCACACCTACTTCCTCCCTTTCCCGGCAGCTCGGAACAATCCTGTAGTCTGAGCCAAGGCGGAGCGTAAGCAGAGAAATCCCTACCTGAGGTCAAGAACCCAGCTCCTCCCTAACCCAACCCTCAGGGTGTGAGAAGGAAGACGACTTTCACCTGTAAACGGATCCTCCCCCCACCCCTCGTTGCACAAGATCCAGCCATTCCCACAGAGGCAATGTCAGCTTTGGTAGACTGGGGAAGGAGGTACTGTGTAGGTACGGAGGACTTTCGCGCATGGGGTTTGAGGGATCAATAGACAAGTCTGTGCAGTGCAAGCTGAACATTACAGAACAGACTGAAAACAGTCTGACTTGAGCGCGATGCAGTGCAAGCTGAACATTACAGAACAGCCATGTAAACTGTGTACTGAAAACAGTCTGACTTGAGTGCCAACATAGTCCAGATCCTGCAAATTTAGCTTCAGTTATATGCGTTTTGCAAAAGGTGTAAAACTTCAGGCTGTTCACCAAGTGCTTAAATTCTCTCCCAAATTGGGGGGAGGGAAGGCTGGAAAGTGCCTGACTTTGGCTGACTTTTATTCCAATACTTCGCTAAGTGGACACTCTGTCCATTTGATATACTGATCAGCTCTTGACTGGCTTTTAAAAGACGGGACCAAACCTTTTCTAGGTGTTACCAAACTTTCTGCAGCCATTAGAGTTGCCAACAAACCGGGAGAAAAACATCCTGTCCATTTAATAGAGACTTAATGTGTGGGAATGGGCAGCTGAAGCTTAGTAGCTTAGAGGTAAATTGCATCCTATTAAGTCTCTGTTAAAGGGACAGGACATTTTTTCCTGGTAGTTGGTTGTCCGAACAGCCTCAGGAGCAAGAATATTTCCCCCTTTAAATGAAAGCAACAAATTCACTGGTTTCTGACTTCTGTGTAGATTTATAGAATCATAGAATCACAGAGTTGGAAGGGGCCATACAGACCATCTAGTCCAACCCCCTGCTAAGTGCAGGATCAACCTAGAGCTTCCCTGATGAGTGTTTGTCCAGCTGCTGCTTAAAGACTGCCCAGTGAGGGGGAGCGCACCACCTCCCTAGGCAGCTGATTCCACTGTTGCACAACTCATACTGTAAAAAAGTTTTTCCTAATATCCAGCCGGTTCCTTCCTGCCCTTAATTTAAACCCATTATTTTGAGTCCTATTCTCTGCTGCCAACAGGAACAGCTCCCTGTCCTTCTCTGACAGCCCTTCAAATTCTTAAAGAGAGCAATCATGTCCCCCCTCAACCTCCTCTTCTCCAGACTGAACATTCCCAAGTCCCTCAGCCTTTCTTCATAGGGCTTGGTTTCCAGACCTCCAATCATCCTCGCTCTTCTCTGCATCCACTCCATTCTATCCAGGTCGTTTTTGAAGTATGGCTGCCAGAACTGCACACAATAATCCAGGTGCGGCCTGACCAATGCAGTGTACAGTGGAACTATCACATCTTGCGATTTGGATGTTATGCGTCTGTTTTGTTGCACTAGTATTAAATGTCATCCTGCGAAATTAAACATTTTTTCATACATTTTTATAAAACTTAACCTGATTACTAGGAACATGGTGTGTGTGGCGGGGGGGGGGGCAATTTAAGATAGCCAGTTTGGTGTAGTGGTTAAGTGTGCGGACTCTAATCTGGGAGAACCGGGTTTGATTCCCCACTCCTCCACTCACAGCTGCTGAATGACCTTGGGCAAGCCATAGTTCTGTCAGAGGTGTTCTTGAAAAAGAGCAGTTTCTGTCAGAGCTCTCTCAGCCCCACCTACCTCACAGGGTGTCTGTTCTGGGGAGGGGAAGGGAAAGGAGTTTGTAAGCCGCTCTGAGACTCCACGTGAAGGGCAGGGTATAAATCCAATCTCTTCTTCGTCGTCTTCTTCATCTTCTTCTTCACAGAAAATATATTTGTATTTTTGTAGGCATGTTCTAGTTAGGATTTTTTTTCTTATTTTTTTGTGTTCCCATGAAACAGTCCTGTGATAAAAGATGTAACATGGGGAAAAACCTAAGGTTAATGAATCAAAGTTCCAGTATATTATGCTAAACTGAATCTGAATTCTTAGCATGCTGACTAGATCCTTCATGCTTGAGTATTTTTATTATGGTGGAAGTCCTATGAATAGAACCGGTAGGACAGGAAGTACTTGTTAGGTCTAATTTATAAATATAAAATGACTAAAAAGCTTATGTATAAAAATATGTATTAAAAAAACAGAGCCAAAACCCAAATGCCAAAATTTTACTTTATTTTTATTTTATTTGTTTATTTTATTTATACCCTTCCTTACTTGCTGAGACTCAAGCAGATTACAAAATATAAACAATGCAGTTGAATTAAGATTACAGAACTGGAAAACAATGAAGCTAGAAAAGTGTCTAAGGCATGGCATTCCACAAAGTGGATTACACTTTGCTGTGTTAGTCTGTAGTAGCTGTGTTAGTCTGTAGTAGAACAGCTGGATTCGAGACCAGTAGCACCTTAGAGAGTAACAAGATTTTATGGGCACTGTCACTTTGGAAAATGGATGTGTGGTCACCAGGGCCAGCTCACCCGCTAGGCGTACTAGGCATTCGCCTAGAGTGCCGGGCCCTGGATGGGGCGACAGGCCCTGGATGGGGCGTTGATCTTCCCCCCTGCCAAAAAGCCTGCACGCCATTGCTGCTCCGAGACTCAAGCAGATTCACGCAAGAGACCCCCGCGCATTCCTCTGCCGACTACGTGGCACCCGTGGGCCATGCAGCTGTAGTGATAGAAGCCCCAATCTGCCTGGATGGCTCCCCGAGACTGGAGAAGACCTGCTGCCCCCAAAGTGCTCCCCCAGCTCCGATCGAGGCAGGCTTTGGGGCGGGAAGCTGGGTGGCAGCTCCCGGAAACAAGGGAGGGCCAGGCTGGCTGGAGAGGCCCCTCGGAGGAGCCCCCCCCGCCCTGAAGAGTGGCAGCGGCCAGGAAGGATGCAACTGAGACAGGCCTCCGAGGATGCCGCCCATTTTCCCTTCCTCGGCCAGCGGATTGCCAGGTCAAAAGCAAGCGCGCTTCCTCCACTCCCGGCGATGCAGCAGGCCGGCTCCCAGCCGCCGCCACTGCCGCCCAGCCCAAACTGCTCTCACCCCCTACAGTCACACACACACACGTACGCAGACTCTTAGCGCCCCCTCCACCTCCTTCAGGCCCAGCCACCCCCTCTCAGCCTCCCCCCCCTCGGAGCAGCTGTGTCTCCAGACCAAAGTGCCGGGCCAGGTGTTGGGAAGCCCAGAGAAGCGGGCCCGCCAGCTAGAAGCTTTTGCAATGTCAGTGCTCCCTTGTCAGACGTCAAAGCTCATCCCCCCTGCCCTCTACCTGGCCAAGCCACCTGCCGCCTTCCTCCCACCGCTGCCGTCACCGCCATGCCCTCCCCGCCCCTTGAGCCGCTTGGCTCTGGCTCTTTTGCTGGGGCGGGGAGGTGAGCCTGGCAGCCTGACTCACCTGAAAGGGCTCTTTGCCCCCTTTGTCTGGGGAGCGCCTCCTCCCGCTTCAGCAAGCAGCGGAGAGAAGGTCTCTCTGGGGCGCGCTCCAGAAAGTTGGCAACCCGGTAATTGGGCACGCGGGGGGGAGGGGCGCCAGAAGGTAGCCCCACCTAGGGCACAAAAAAACCTCAGGCCGGCCCTGGTGGTCACAGTGTCCTGCTTGTAAGCATCCATGGATGTACTTTTGTTGGAGATCCTGATAAAACAATTGCATTAAATCCTTCTGCTTCCGTGATTTTCCAATTGCAACACTGCTGATATTAATCAGTGGATGACACTCCAGGGGGCTTTACAAGTTCCAAGCAAAAGGAGGTGTAATATAGGGCACTGTGAGCTGCGGTGGCTCAAGTGGTTAAGACGCTGAACTGCAGGCTGTGGAAGGTCAGTAGTTCAGCAGTTTGAGACCCGAGTGCGCCGCATGATGGAGTGGGCGCCCGTCTCTAGTTCCAGCTCCTGCCAACCTAGCAGTTCGAAAGCAAGAAATTGCAAGTAGATAAATAGGTACCACTTCAGTGGGAAGGTAACAGCGTTCCATGCGCCTTGGTGTTTAGTCATGCCGGCCACATGACCACGGAAACATCTTCGGACAGTGCTCTTCAGCTTTGAAACGGAGATGAGCACCGCAACCCTAGAGTCGAATTCGACTGGCTTTTGAGCAAGAGAACCTTTACCTTTTACCATATTCTGCAATGCTCATTCTACCTAGAAAAATTGAGTTGCTCATAGAAATAAAGGTCACAAAGTATATATAGTGGGATTCCAGTGGCAATCTGGGTGGAGTAGATATCTGAATATACATTATCACATATAGAAAATGTGATGAAACCTAGGTAGTCCAAACTGTTCTAGAATGGTCCCAGGCCTTTCAAATGGAGAGGAATTAGTACCTACTTTTATCCTATCGGTATGCTATCTTTTCTGAGCTAGCATGGTGTAATGGTTAAGAACGGCAGACTCTAATCTAGAGAACCGGGTTTGATTCCCTACTCCTCCACATGACACCTTCTGGGTGACCTTGGGCCAGTCACAGTTTCTCTCAGAACTCTCTCAGCCCCACCTACCTCACAAGGTGCCTGTAGTGGGGAGAGGAAGGGAATGTGATTGTATGCCACTTTGAGACTCCTTAAGATAGAGAGAAGTGGGGTATAAAAAACAACTTCATCATCTTCTGGTTAATGACATTGTATGCCAGAGCTCTAAAATGTATCCCTCCTGCACAAAGTATTAGGACTAATTGGCAAATCCCATGGGTAATGTCTGTCACAAACCTGCCCTGGGACCGTGTGTTCTCACATGCATGTTGTGTGATTGCCTGTATGTAAAAGTGTGTTTGTCTTCATGCCACCACCCCAGATTATAAAACTCAGCCTATCACATAAACAGTGCCTTGGGCTGCCTCTGAGGAAATACAAAGGGCAGAGCTTCCAATTGCTTACCCCGGTGGTGCATG